GGTGTCCTGTGTCCCATTGGGGTGTCCCGTGGTCTTCTGGGGGGTCCCGTGGTCTTTTGGGGGATCCCGTGTCCCATCGGGGTGTCCTGAGTTCCATCAGGGTGTCCTGTGTCCCATTGGGGTGCCCAATATTCCATTGGGATGTTCTGTGTCCCATTGGGGTTCCCTATATCCTACTGGGATGTCCCATGTCCCTTCGGGGTGTCCTGTGTCCCATCAGGGTGTCCCATGTCCCATCAGGTTGTCCTGTGTCCCATTGGGTTGCCCAATATTCCATTGGGATGTTCTGTGTCCCATTGGGGTTCCCTATATCCCACTGGGATGTCCCATGTCCTATTAGGGTGTCCTGTGTCCCTTTGGGGTGTCCCGTGTCCCACTGGGGCGCCCCATGTCCCATTGGGGTGTCCAGTGTCCCACTGGGGTGCCCCAGCTGCCATTGGGGTGCCCCATGTCCCTTTGGGGTGTCCCGTGTCCCACTGGGGTGCCCCATGTCCCTTTGGGGTGTCCAGTGTCCCACTGGGGTGCCCCATGTGCCATTGGGGTGCCCTATCTCCCATTAGGGCGCCCCATACCCCCCACATCCCCAATGTCCCCCTGAGGCGCCCCAGCTCCCACCTGCCGTCCCTTTTCCTCTCCCGTCCATCCCGTCTCCCTTCACTCCGACCCCACATCCCAAGAAATCTCCTTTTGGGGACCTTTTGGGGACGCCGTGACCCCGTTGTGCCCCGTAGGAACATCATGAACAACAAAGTCTTCTACCAGCACCCCAACCTGATGCGGGCGCTGGGGATGCACGAGACGGTGATGCAGGTGATGGTGAGCGTGCTGGGCGGCGGCGAGACCAAGGTGAGCGGCCCCCGACCCCCCCGACCCCACAGCCCCATCCCGGGGGGTTCTGACCCCACGTCCCCCCTTATCCCCCCCCGCGGGAGATCCGATTCCAAATCCGTGTCCTTCGTTCTCCATCTCAGTGCCCCCCAGACCCCAAATCTGCACCCATCCTCTCCATCCCAGGACCCCAAATCTGCGCCCCTCCTTTCTATCTCAGTGCCCCCCAGACCCCAAATCTGCACCCATCCTCTCCATCCCAGTGTCCCCAAATCTGCACCCCTCTTCTCCACCCCAGGACCCCAAATCTGCACCCCTCTTCTCCATCTCAGTGCCCCCAGACCCCAAATCTGCACCCCTC